GAGCATTCCTGTCTTCCATGTGTATTTTGACATGATTACTCACCTCTTCTCTCGTTGTGTCCATTCATCTGAGTATTAAAATGTTATGTAGTAATTGGATGAATTCTCTCATATACTTGCTATTTATATTTCAGTATTCATATTTCCTGTCTTTAAATGAATCTATCTATATATGTATATCTGTCTATCTATCTATCTGTCTGTCTATCTGTCTATCTATGTATCTATCTGTCTGTCTGTGTCTGTCTATCTATCTATCTGTCTGTCTATCTATATTACCCCATATTCTTTAGATCAGAGGTGGGGAACCTGTGGCCTGGAGGATACATGTGGCCTTCTAGGTCCTCGGGTGTGGCCTTTTGACGGAATCCAAGTTGTACAGAACAAATCCTTTTATCAAGGGGATTTGTTCTGTGAAGTTTAGATTCAGCCAAAGGGCCGCACTTGAGGATCTAGAGGGCCATATGTGGCCAGGTTCCCTACTCCTGAGCTAGATAGTCACATGTATATTTTTTACAAGTTTTCATGTATTCAATGTATGTATGTGTGTGTGTGTGTGTGTGTATATTATCCCTTTTGGTTTCATACATATGATTATTCATGTATTTTTACTATAAATCGCATATATGAGCACTCATACAGTCTTTCTATATTTCTACATGAATACTTCATTTATGAGCACTAAGTCACTCCATATTGCTATATTTTAGGGTACCACTATTCTCTGCCTATTTTTCTGTATATATGAGTATTGATATACTCTTTGTACACATAGAAAGGATTCTTCATATATTCTCTCACAGGAAGGGAAACAGTGAAATAATTTTAGGAATATAGAGAGGGATATAGAAGAGCTCTTATCTGTGAATAGAGAAAATTTATGCATATATATGAATAGAGTGAATGTGAGTACTCATATACATGGGAATAGAGAGAATTAATGCCAATGTTTATGAGGATATGTATAAATCATACAAATGAATTTATACAAAGAATAAATGAGTAAATGTACATAGAAATGAAGAGAGAGCATAAATACTTATATATGAATAAATTCTTTCTTCATATGTATGAGATGTCATTTATTCTCTATATATTCATTTACACAAATATGAATTTATTAATTTTAGGAAAGAGAATCTGTAGTCATGTATATGAGTACTCCTTGATGAATAAAGAAAATATGAATGAAATTAAATTTACTACATATAGGATAATATAATCCTATATATAGATTGATATCGAATTATAATAAGAATCATTCAGTATTCATGAAGAAGAACAGAGAGAGAATGTACAACCTTACACGAATATATAGAAGAAATATTTGAGCACTCCTAGACAAGAATATACAAAGTCCAGGGGTTTTGAAGAGGGTTACAGGGGGCCGTGTGGACAGACAGCAGGGGGTCTCTGGGCATCAGTCCTGGTCCCCGGGGTCCTCTCCTTCCCTTCCCCTGCTCCCAGAATGGCCACAGTTAGGCCCCCCGCTGGGAGCTCGAGACACTTGTAGAGGCGGGGGCGGGGGGGGGGGATGGGGGAAGGAAATAAGACTAAGAAGGTGTTTGGGAAAAGGAAAATGAGCTGGAGAGGGTGTTGGGGTGGGAAGGAGAAAAAGAAATGGAGAGAGCCTGAGAGAGAGGGGAAAATGAGATCAATAGTGTGTGAGGGGGACGGATGGTGTCTCCACGGAAACGGGTGAGTGGGGGGCCGCTAGGTGGCGCAGTGGATAGGTACTGGGCCGAAGTCAGGAGGACCTGAGTTCAAATCCAGCCTCAGACCAATCACTTGACACTAGCTGTGTGACCCTGGGTAAGTCATTTAACCCCAATCGCCTAAAAAAAAAACGGGTGAGTGGGATATCTTCTGGGAGCAAACACAGGGAGCAACAGGATGAGTGGGAGTGGCTACTCCTGTGTCACCAAGTGGGCGCTGATGTCACCAGCCATGGGAGCTGGGGGGGGGGAGGCTGCACCTTACCTATGCTCAGCTCCCCTTGACTGGGGGCTCCCTGAGGACCCCAAGGAATAGGAGTGTACATCTGAGAGGGGAGAGAGGCCAGGGGACCCGCCCAAAGCCTCCCTGAGGCTCAGCCTCCTGAGCATGGGAGAAAAGGGGCCAGGAAACACAAGATCCAGACCCCAGGACTCCTGCTCATGGCAGAGAAACAGGACGTTGGTCTCCCACCCCCCTGGGCTCTGAGGTCTGACAGTCTCTGTGAGATGGAGGGGGTTGGGGTGTTTCACTTCTGCTTCAAGAGACAAGTCCAGGAAGAAGCATAGGTTTTATTCCAATCTTTACGGTTAGAATAAGGGCAGAACTTGCTGATGGGGCCGGCGGCCCCACAGGAAAGTATTCGCCGTGCAGGGTTTTCTCAGGTGTGAGTGTTGGAGGCTACTTTGTTAACATTGTCGGGCTATAGATACATGGGTAGAGTCTGAACTGGCTTGTAGGTCTGGATAGGATGAAGGGCTAAAAGAGACCTCAGAGGTCATCTGGTCTAACTTTCTCATTGGAGAAAAAGGGTAACTGAGGTCAAGGGGAGGACAGGGACATGGCCAAGGTCACACAGCCAGTGAGGGCCTTGACCCCGGTCTCTCCTGCCTGCCAGACCCGCTGGCTTCCATCTTGGCCCCTCTCTCCTCTGACAGCCAAGCTTCATGGGCTGAAGGTCCCTGGGAAGGCTCTCCCCAGAAGCCTATGGGCAGATTCCCCATAGAACTAAGGATTCTTAGAATCTTCAGTTATGTCTGTGGGGTTAAACTAGCCCCCCTTGTCCACATCTCTGGGCCAGCCTGGGATATATACTTTCCAGAGAGAGCCTTGGTAAAATTCATGCCTTCCCTGAATGAATTTTTTCCATTTGTGAAATTAAGGGGAAGACCCCTGGCTGCTTCACACAGAGTGCTACCTTTTCCTGTGCCTTGGATGTGTTAGTCCGGTCAAGGTCCCTTTTTCCTACTCTCAGAGAAATCCTGGTCTAGTGAGGGAAAAGATGTGCCTTGGACATGCCCAGTGTGGTATCCCAGCCTTGGAGAGGCAGGGATCAAGAACTGCTTGGTAGAGGTGGGCTGGGTAGCAGTTGGGCTTTCAGTGATGGGAAGTGCAGATTATCCTCAGAACAGAAGGAGGAATTTTCAGCTGCGCAAAGGGACCTTTTGAGCTGAAGATGGGGGCTCTGGCAATCAGAGTGGGAAAGGAAGCCCAAATAACCCCATGACCAGAGCTCATGTGCCATTTCCTTTCCCTCCTTGGGCAGGTCAGTGGGGTTCTGCCCACCATGGAAAGAGGGCTTCTCTCCCAACCTGCAGAGGTCAGCTCATGGACATCCATCACCAAGATTGTCCCCTCCTGAAAGCAGCCTGAAGAGGCCAGAAGCAGGAGCCAAATCCAGTTGTTTGTCAAAATGGGGACAAAAATATAGGAAAACAACTTCACCAGGAGTGTTGTAAACACTTCATCACTAGGCCCAAACTGATTGGAGCAAGTACCGTAGTTAAGAGAAAACTGAAAGAAAGCACCTCCATGAAACACACTCCTGTCTGAGCTGTTCCAATGTGTTAGCAATGATTGCAGAGGGGGTGGCAAGGAAGTTAGGACATAAATACACACACACACACACACACACACACACACACAGAGAGAAATACTGAAACACATACATTCTCACAGTTATACACATTCATACACACATAGAAACATCTGATTGATTCAGAAAGTGAGGAGGTAGGGGAGACAAAGGCAAAACAGGCTGAGAACCTTAACTCCTAAGGGAAAACTCATGGAAAAGGATGTTGGAGGATCTGGACATATCTCCTCATAGATGAGGATTCTTATCTTCCATATGTATTTTGACATGTAGGAGTACTCTCCTCTCACTATATCCATATATAGGAGTACTAATGGGCTCTCTGTATGTATTGAATGTATGAATTCTCTCCTATACTTACTTGTTATTCATGTTTCAGTAGTCATACCTTCTCTATAAATGAATCCATCCATCTATAGGTTCCTCCATATACTGTAGATTGTCACGCACTTATTTTCACGATCTATCATGTATTCAGTATGTGTGTCTGTGTGTCTGTGCGTGTGTGTGTATACACACATACTATGTTTTTTCTTGTGACTCATACATATGACTATTCATAGATTCTCTCTATATGTTGGCATATGTGACCATTCATAAAGCCTTTCTATATTCCTATATGGGTACTTTATTTGTGAATACTCATTCATTCCATATTCCTCTACATAAAGGTACACTTATTCTCTCTCTCTATTCCTATATATAAGTCCTGTTATCCTCTAGATGCTTGCAGACAGGAGTCTTCATAAATACTGTCACAGGGAGAGATGCACTAGAATACTTTTGGGAATATAGAGAGGATATAGGAGAATTAATATCTGTAAATAGAGAGAATGTCTACATATATATGTAGACATAAATAAATGTATACAGAAAATATGGGTACTCCGATATGAATATAGTAAATATATGAGTACTCATATACATAGGAATAGAGAGAATGATTACTAATATTCTTGAAGAGATGAAATGTGGAAGCAATTTAAATGAATTTCTAGAAAAAATAAATGACTTTCTATACATAGGATTGAAAAGAAAGAACCTGAGTACTGATATATATGAATATATTCTCTGTCTTCATATATCTGAATTGTCTTCTGTTATCTATATATTCATTTTCATAAGTATGAAGTTGTAATCTATAGGAGAGACATTCTGTAGTATTATATATGAGTACACATAGATGAAGACAGAAGATATATTTAAATGAAATATAAAAGTACTTTCCTGTATATAGGACAATATAAACCTCTCTCAGTCAGTCTCTCTCTCTCTCTCTCTCTCTCTCTCTCTCTCTCTCTCTCTCTCTCTCTCTCTCTCTCTCTCTCTCTCTCTCTCTCTCTCCCTCCCCCCATGTGTGTAAAGAGAGCTATTCAGTTCTCATAAAAAAGAACAGAGAGAGAGACAATGG